CTACCTCAACTGTACATTATAACTAACCTACAACTTAAAGGTGGATATCTGCAAAGGAGTGCATGCAAATGCTTTATATGCTTCAACTGTGTGTGTAGCTGTCTGCATGGTAAGCTTTGAGACTGGTGTTAACATTATTATTATTATTGTTATTATATAGGATGTATATAGCGCAAACAGATTGTGCAGCGCTTTACAATATAGGGAAGACATTACAATCACAATACAAATCAAGTCAAGATTGGTAAACTTTCATGATTTCTACATTTAAAAAAATATTTCTGTACTGAGTAAATGTTTTACTATTTATTTTAGTGACAAGGGGTTACGTTTGTGTTTTACTATCTTAAACAAACCAAATACCCTTTAGCCAGTATAGCTATTGCCTATGACGTTATCATTCTTTAAGGATTAACCTATGTATCCCTAGGTTCAGATATCTACCATAGTTATGCGAGCAGAATTTTATGGGGAGATGCAAGGAAGTGATTTGGGAATAGTATAACCTGGAGGTTTTCTGTATGGAAAGAAAGAGAGGCACACAGTGGCAGGTGGTTTTCTAAGTGCTTTTTATTAACCTTCGCACAATAAATAAAACACTCCAGATGTTGGAGCCTAGCAGAAGATTCATGATACTTTTCCGGTCGTGTCTGGTGAAAATCAGAACTTTCTATTCGGGAACACCAAAAATGCAGGCAGCACACTTTGTACAAACCACTGGAAATTTCCAGGCTCCATAGAAAGACCATCCGTCTACCTAAAACTGTGATAATACAACCCAAATCTCAGTATGGGGTTTGAAAAACCTCTGAGCCATTCTTTATTTGGTTAAAGCTCAACCCCAGATTTTATTATGTTCAGCAATACTCGTCTCTTCATCCTCAAGTCAGCATGAGTCCACCATTGTCTGCGCTGCTGGTCTGTAAGTAAACTTGAATCCTGTTCTTAGTACAGAGTCATTGTATCATCTTCCAGTATTTATGTTTTACTTATTATCGGGGCAAAGACCAAAGGACAAACCACCATGACCCATAACGGATCAGCACTCACCAATGGCGGTGCTCTAGTTGGGTGTTTTTGGGTTGTTTTGCTGCGTTTTGTCCTCCATGACGGAAGCAGGCTTAGATGGAGGATACCAGCAGAAGGAATGATCACAATCTCTACATAAAGACAAAGCTTGGGGATAGACATGAGAATAGTTTTCACTGCTGTGTGTGTCTGAGCTGGAGAGATTCACCCTCTTTATGTCACCCGGTGAATATTGTCACCGAGACAGAGGGGTTGATTCACTCAGGGCTTAGCCACACCATCCGCAGAGCAGATCTGGACGTGTTTCTGGAAATTTGTAAAAATTGTGCATGCGTTTTTGTTTTTTAAAGGTTCTGGACCTGAATGCAGTGGTGTGAACTAGACTCACTCGTTACCATAGCAATGCATGGGCGCATGTTTTGGACTTTACAGAAAATGTTCTGGTCTGGAGATGGTGTGAACATGCCCATCTCCACACCAAATCCTGACCAGAACATTTTTTTGCATGGTCCAAAAATGCATGGCCATTTATTTTCTATGGTAAGAAAAAAAAAAAGGCAGATAGGAATTTGTACTTTGCAGGGGAAGTTTCCCGTACGTTTAGTGAAAGAGGTGAAATTCTGCTGACTTCCGCCATCCAATCATGTGCTGAAATGTCACCACATTCATCATTTGCCTTCCGTAAATCATCATCAGAAAGTGATGGGAAACCCAAACTTTTACAATTGTCACCAGAACAGGAACAGAGGGGACATCTTTTCACAAAAACGTTCCCCCAAAAATTAGAAATCCCTTCTAAAAAGATTGGTTCAAAACAGGTCAATCGAAATTATTGATACAATATTTAATAGTAGAAAAAGACATATACAATAAACTCATGTACCGGAGACATTTAAAAACACTTAAAACATTCCACTGGATATATTCTGCATGATTATAACAATTGTTGCCTAAAAACCACCTGCGTGGTAAAGGGCCATCTATGCAGGTTTCTGGATGAAGAAACAATGTATCAGAGAATGTACTCACATATGTTGCAGTTCAAAGAGCTCGAGGGAAAATGAACCTGCTAGAGTCCTGTGTGTAAGAAAGACTTCGGGAGAGGTGTCCAGTATAAGACGATATTACTGTCAAAGAATGTAGCTCCTCAATACAGGCAGGAGCTGCGGATGCCCCTCTCCCGGCACTTTCCAAAGGCACAAGATACTCCGTGGGTTTCAGTGAATGAAATGGAAGCTTCTTCTAAGATTTTGGTCTTTCGTGTGCGGCGGCACTGTGCAGAAAGAGAGAAAGACTACTTGACACTCCACGGTAAGATGCGTCTGGCAAGATAGGAGCCGGGAATTTACCCGTAAGGCGCGGGAAGCCACCCGCTAACCTTCAAAGCAAAGGCATGATTTTAGTAGCCATCCAATCGAAACCATATCACAGTCAGTTGTGCTCCGTCACCTCTATTTCACAAGCCGGCAGGCAGTAGGCAGGATGTTCGTTCCTAACTGGACTTGTATAGGGGATGAGCAAACAAATGTGAGTATCTCATATGTCCAGAGAATCCAGGGAAGCTTTCCACACGTAACCCTTGACGCGTTTCCTCCCCACACCTGGGGCTTCCTCAGAAGGGCGGGTGTTTAGTCTCTTACAAAAGTGTGTTTAAATAACACAGTTAACAAAGGCTGATTGGCAACTAGGTTTTGCACAATCACAGCCATGTCACTTTTCAAAACTAGACGTAAGTGTGATATAAACTACATATTCGATTGGAAGGCTCCTGTAAAGCCTTAAACCTACATCAAATTCATATTTTAATCGCATAAATATATTGAGTGATCAACAAATTAATATTATTATAAAGAAGTCATACTTATATACCCTTAATTGTACACAATATTGAATCATCAAAAGTTATTCTCATAAAGGGGTCATAATTATATACCAAAAAATAGTAGATAACGGTGGTCAAACGTAATTTCACTTACAAGTAATACTTACTTAAAGTATTGGCCCCTCCCCAACGAATCATTGGATTCAGGTGTTCCGTGACATTTCCCGGCTACTAAATATTCCGCCGCGGTCGCCTGTAAGACAAATGACATATTACACCCGATGTATATACAGTATAGGGGGGGGGGATATAATAAAGACAAATAGGCTGTAGAAGTTCTGCTGACCTCCATCATCCAATCACGTGGAAGCTAAAATCCTGTTTTCTTTGTGTTTTCCTTGCATGTGATTGGATATTCTCTGCACAGTGAGTTGTCACCGCAGTCACTAAGCGATGTGAATGTCCCCGGCACAGTGATCAGTGTGTTTGCTGTCAGTAAATCTCCCCCATAGTGGGCAGCTTTGTGTACAGCTCGGAGGAGCAGAGGCTGCAAGAAGAGAAACCGACAGCCATTTCCTGAGGACACGAGACACTCTGACCTATAGACATGTAGCAGTCGGGTGTTAGGGGGATGTGGTCTGCCCTATATATATCAACATGAAATACAACTAAAAAATAAATGTTTTAAACAACATTTGTGTCCTTTTGTATCTAATAATGAAAAACTGAGCAAGTGACCCAACGCTATGGAGAGTGCCACTGAGTGCTGCCATGTTACCAGAGAGTGCCACGTGTTATAAAAGAGTGTTGGTGGTCCAAACCTGAACTCCTCTGAACATGGAAGGAAGCTTCTTCTGTGTCCGCCCAATGAACTTCAGTCTGGAATTCTCTGCCCACACCGGCATGTAAGCAGGGGGGCGGGGTGCAGTGACATCATTGACCTTATATGGCCACAGGGGTACATTTGATCAATGACATTGGCTTAATTTGGGCTTGTGGCCATAAACTGTAAAGTCAATGACATTAGCACAAGTATCCCTCCCATTTGTTTTTGTGCAGCTGTGGGGTGGGGAATGACCCAGCCCACAGCTGATTGGGCGGGCGGCCCATAGCACTTTCATGTTCGGAGTTGCTCAGGTAGCTCATGTTTGGTTCTCCACAATCCAAAAGCAGAATTCACACCACACAGAAGGAGAGGTTCCTCTGGTTTCAGTCTGTTGAGTTCTTTCTCCACATTATTGTTTCTAGTCCCGATGAAGGTGGAGAAATATTGTCCCCGAAACTCCATGGCTGGTTTGCCTTTGTGATTGAATATATAAAGACTCTTTGGACTTTTTTCACCTATTTGGTCTGGTGCCCATTCACTATGTGTCCACACCTTAAGCATGGAGGCCATTTATCAACATTTGATGGAACAAGAATATAAATGACCTCAAACAGGTCATATCATGGAAGATCTGAACCCCTGAGTATAGGTATAATAGGGGGTGTCTAGATCTATTGTTCAGTGGCCATCACACTTTGATGTTCCCTTTAATTATAATTAGAAGGTAAGTAGGTGAGCCGTATACAATCCACCTTCATGTTGTTGGGTATGTTGGATATTAAATACATTTGACCCATGCAATGGGTCCTCCCTTCCCCCTCCGCTTCCTTTTTGTCTTACTTTACCTCTCGCTCTTCTTCTCTCTCCAATGCTCCTCGGTGTCCTCACCTACAATGATGGACTGCTGGTCCTGTATTGTACACGATGATGGCAGAGTGCGCCCCATGGAGGGGTGAAGAGAAGCAGCTTTGGGGGACATGTTGTGCGGTTGGGAGGAAGTCTGAGGGAGCGAGGAACAAGGTCAGTGTAACTGTATCTTCCTCCTACCCCCTTGGACAAAAATTATCATTTGACCCTTCAGGATGGAGGAGACCCATCACAATGGACATTTTTCTCGAGTTCAGCTTTAAATAAAGTAAAAAACTTCAACTTTTCATCAGATTATTTTCTGTGTTTTATTTTTAGTCAAGTTCCTTTTATCTTTAGGCCATCTGATCTGTTTTTAGGTGCTATGAACACGAACTCTTCAGACGTCCCGGAAAACCACAAACTTCTTCATGTCTTTCTACACCAGCTCATACCAAGCCAGAAGAGACGACAGCCATGACCCCGTCCACAGCTCTGATAGTCCTCCTCTGTAAGTATCTGCCGTGATCACTGTCTATATTTCATTATCTGTCTGCCAATCTGTCTACCGAGCCCAACTCCGGGCGCAGCTACCCATGCAGACCCCCCCATACTACAAGGGGGTAAATGCTCATTAGGTCTAGGGGTAGAGGGATGACGGGTAATACTTACTAGTTACGTATTTAGTACAAAATGTTTCTTTTCTCTTTTTATCACAGTTACAGATAGTAGAAGGTTTTCCTTGCAGTGGCCGCTCATTGGTTCTCATATATTTGTCTGTCACATAAAACAACATCTGAGTTCCCGGATCTGCTCCTCTATGGGCTCTATTATGGGGTCCCGCTCTCTCTGTTCCGAAATGTAATGAAAAAAACTGCATTCAGGACCAAAATGTAGAAGGGAATATTGGGAGCCCCCTCCCCCTCAACCTCCAAATTGTTATACATCCTATGTGTACATATATTGAACATTGCTTTTCTTAGAAATGATTTGTATTTCAGACGTGTCATCATTTCCTTGTCTTATTTTACAGCCACAGTCCTGGGACACGCAGGTGAGTCTTTATTATACATCTGTCAATCAATCAATCACT